CTAGGGAAATGTCTTCTTTTCTCTTGGGGAATTGTGATCATCTCAGTCCTGTTCTGCATACTGCTTGAGTAAAGAATTATCTAGCACATCCAGGGTCAATGTCACTTGGTAATCTTCTATGTTATCCAAGACATGCACTTCCAGTAGCCAAACCATACCTCTCAACTCATGCTAAATCTCTAAACTAGGAGGGTCACACATCAATGATTCAATATTTCCCACTTCTTAATTCAACAGCATTGATTTTATAAATGATAACAAACACTGTGATACTCCCCGTCATGCATCAATGTTTGACCAATGTCAGAGAAACGCTCTCCACCTGCATCTATAGACCGTGCCATGGAATCTAATGGACTCAGGAGAGCATGTAAGCTGGGTTATGTCTTTGCTTTGGTGACCTACTCGGTTTGCCTAATGGAAGAGCCCACCAGAGCAAAAGAGGAACATTCAAGAATGTATTCTCCATGATCCTATGAACTGAGCTGCATATTAATGGAGATTGAATTCCTAGTCAGAGCTGCAGCCTCTCTGGTATTACTAAAAAAATTATCATCAATATTATTATTAATGTGAGGAATAATTACTACTCTATATCAGCAATTCCTGGGTGCTTCACTATCAGGATAGCACCCACAATCCTGATTATTTTTTCTCCATACTCCTCAGAAATACCACTTTTGTATATCTTTATTTTTCCAATGAGGCATTGTCTAGTATACTGCCCTTGAGAAAGAGTCTCATAGAAAGCCATATATAGATGTAAATGATATTTTATATCCAATGTAGAAATTATATACACAAAATCATAATGAATCTATAAAAATGTAGTGTGTGCGTGTGTGCTTACATATTCATTTGAATGTGTTGAAGTTCACTTGTGTGTGAAAATACTTATGTATGTGTCTTCAGATGCATGAGTGGACCTGAAAACAGCCTTGGGTACCAAAAACCATCTCCCCAGCCCATCAGTAGATAGTTCTAGTGATGGAGTCAAAAGCCATTTTCATTTTAACCCTGAATTACAAAATCTCCAATCTTTTCAGATTAATGTTATGTTGTGTAGGTTGTATGACTGGTATATCTGACCCATGGGGTTGTTTTATGGGCTCTTTGCTTGTAGATCTGACCTTGAAAGGTAGAAGTTATGCATGATGGTGGATGGGTGTAATTCTTCTTTTTATAGGAAAGAGAACAAGGAACGTGGAAAGAAAAATAAAGACAGGAAAAGCTAGATTTTAAAGCATATTCCCTACTCTATCAAAGATTTCAGCTTCATTCTGCTAAGGCCTGTACTAATTTTATTGCTTTTAGCTGCACATGACACATCGCCTAGTAATCATAGGTTATGCATATGGACATTAAGTTGTACATACTTCATATGCAGAAGTTTATAGCCTTTCGGAGACTCCCCGATGGTATCAGTTAATAATCATTTATGTCCAATTCCACTTTGACTCTTTCAGCTTTGCACCACAGAAGCATCCTGGCATTTATGGTCTAGAAATAATGCCTAATAGATAAGAAAATAACCTAAGCAGCTCTCTTCTCTCTCTTGTTTTATTTATTTACTTTTATTAGGGAGGTAGACCTTTTCTAAAAAGCTTCCACTAAACAACTCCACAAATTTCATTCAAAAAGCTAAGCACATTCCCTTGCTAGTCAGCTTTATAGTACCAATAGACACCAACTCAGGGAGAGAAGTTTTATTTTGGGCTCACAGTTTCACAGACTTCAGCATGAGCCTGGCTGGCTCCATTGTTTTGAATCTTTGTAGAGAGAACATCACGGTGGTGGAACACATAATAAAGGAGGCTGATCACCTCAGACACAATAAGAGAAAGATCAAAGGGCTGGGACAAAGTTTATTCTTTAGAAATACATCCTAAGTGGCATGCTACCTCCCAGAATCCACTCTCGTGTAGCTCATTCAGCTATAGACTCCTCAATGGTTTGGTCCATTGATAAGATTTGCAACCTTATGATTCAATCACCTTTCATTGGCCTGGAGAACACGCCTTTAACAAAAGAGCCTGTGTACTATTCCAGATCCCAGTGACAAATTCCTCCTAATCTGGTGTTTGGTAAATGAGTAGAAAAGGATGTTCATGTTTTTTTGGGCTTGTCTTACCTTTCTGTCTATCTTCTCAGGGAGATAACTTCAACTGAGCTCGGAGTGACCTAGAATAAATGTTATGTTTCTCAACTCCATTTGTAATAAATTTTGATCCTATCACTGTTTAGGTTCTAGCCAATGGCTTCTACCACACAAACAAATGGTGCATTCTGGAAATCTCTCTGAATATCTAATGAGGATGCTCCTCTATCTTTCTTTATATCCCTTCCCTTGCCTGTTGGCTTGAAGGAAAACTAGATAACCACATCTTGACCTAATACTAATTGCCATAGATGACTTTAAGAATGAGAACTTTTAGATCTAGTTATGTGGCAGAAAGGACTTGAATTCCTGAGAACTCTGTAAACCAAGACCTGTGGTGATCCAAACTCTCAACTTTTGGATGTAGTTACAAAAAGAAATAACATTCCACTGCATTTAAGTTACTATTACTTTGATTCTATCTTATTTGAAAACAAATATAACACTACCAACTTAAATTGTTGATGATTTATTTTCCTGCTCAAGGGTTGCATCCCTTATAAGCATGTTTATAACTGACAATACTTCAATAGAAAAAAATATCACCTCATCAAGTTAGGACAGATATCTGTCAATGATGCTACCGGTAGTGTTTGATAAAAGCAGACAACAATTATGTTGCAGGAAAGATGGAGTGCTGTAATGCTACCCAGGCAGGTTTGAAAGAGCAGAAGCCAGGAAGAGCAAACAGAGCCAAGAATAGCCTAGGACAAAGTCAACAGAAAGAGAAAGATGGGAATAGGCATGAGCTACTGAAAGAATGGCTGTGGGATTAGAGATAAATTAAAGAGGAGAGTAAGACTAAACTTACAAGAAAGACAGGTTTAAAATACTGCCTACTTATTAAAGATTTCTGACTCCTCCCCGCCACCGCCTCCCATTTCCCTCCCCCTCCCCCAATCAAGTCCCCCTCCCTCGTCAGCCCAAAGAGCAATCACGGTTCCCTGCTCTGTGGGAAGTCCAAGGACCACCCACCTCCATCCAGGTCTAGTAAGGTGAGAATCCCAACTTCCTAGGCTCCCCCAAAGCCAGTACGTGCAGTAGGATCAAAACCCAGAGCCATTGTTCTTGAGTTCTAAGTAGTCCTCATTGTCCGCTATGTTCAGCAAGTCCAGTTTTATCCCATGATTTTTCAGACCCAGGCCAGCTGGCCTTGGTGAGTTCCCGATAGAACATCCCCATTGTCTCAGTGTGTGGGTGCACCCCTCGCGGTCCTGAGTTCCTTGCTCGTGCTCTCTCTCTATCTGCTCCTGATTTGGACCTTGGGATTTCAGTCCGGTGCTCCAATGTGGGTCTCTGTCTCTGTCTCCTTTCATCACCTGATGAAGGTTAATATTCAGGAGGGTGCCTATATGTTTTTCTTTGGGTTCACCTTCTTATCTAGCTTCTCTAGGATCATGAATTATAGTCTCAATGTCCTTTATTTATGGCTAGAAACCAAATATGAGTGAGTACATTCCATGTTCCTCATTTGGGTCTGGCTTACCTCACTCAGGATAGTGTTTTCTATTTCCATCCATTTATATGCAAAATTCAAGAAGTCCTTGTTTTTTACTGCTGAGTAGTACTCTAATTTGTATATATTCCATACTTTCTTCATCCATTCTTCCATTGAAGGACATCTAGGTTGTTTCCTGGTTCTGGCTATTTCAAACAATGCTGCCATGAACATAGTTGAGCATATACTTTTGTTGTATGATAGGGCATCTCTTGGGTATATTCCCAAAATTTGAAAAAATAAAAAAAAATCTTTGATCTACGCAGGATAGTAGTGAGTGATTGGACACATGTAAGATATTGTTAACTTCCCTGCCTTATTGGGTCTCAAAATAACCACTGTAGAGGGTTAAATAAGCCAGTTTTAAAATAAAAATTGGAATTCAGTGTAGTCAAGAACAACATAAAATTGTTTGGATAAAAAATAAATAAATTTATCTTTCATTCAAAGGTGAAAAAAATACTGCCTTCTAGTGTTTTTTTGTTGGATGATCAATACACAAAGAGTCAATCTTAAGTGTAGCTAAGCTCTTACTACATGTCATCACAGGGCTTTTACTATATGCTACAGATGGGTTACCTTCAAAACTAGGATAATTTTCTCATAAGTAGAAGTTAATCAGCATTTCTGAGGTATATATTAGGCCATAAGAAGAACCAGAACAGAATGAACCCTGCCTTCCTGGAATTCACAGTGGTAGAGCTGAGAAGACACTTGGTCTTGCCACAGATTAGAAACTCCACAGTGATTATTAAAGGAGGTCCAGCTGTGCCCAGAGCTATAAAGGGGGCAGTAATACATAGGTTGAAGCTCACTTATTTGGAGGTACAAAGGAGAATTACGGTTTGTTGAAGGAAAAGAGAGAGGACTTTATAAAAGAGTTGACCTCTTTGTGGCTTAATTAAGTTCATCTTCTATCTTCATCTTTTTTTCTGTTTCTTTTGTTCCATCTCTATCATCATTTTGAGCACTATCAAGATAGACTGATTTTACAATTTTAGATGTGAACAGCTCTATATGACAACTATCTCATTTTATGTTAAAAGTTTCCTCAATGAACTACAACTTTTTACACCCCCATTGTGTAGTAATAAGGGCGGCAGGGCTGCATTCTCAGCACCCCTGGCCGCCTGCCCGGCTAGCTTATGCCCGAAATAATTACACAGACACTCTATTCTTTTAAACACTGCTTGGCCCATTCTCTTCTAGGCTAATTCTCACATATTAATTTAGCCCATTTCTAATCATCTGTGTGTAGCACCCCAAGGTGCGCTTACCGGGGAGATTCTAGCCTAGTCCATCCTGGGTCGGAGCTTCATCCCGGGAGCGGGGCATGGCGTCTCTCTCAGGCGTCTGCTCCTAGAACTTTGATGGGAGTTTTTTTGTATTTTTTTTAAATTTTATTTATTTATTTATTAAAGATTTCTGCCTCCTCCCCGCCATCGCCTCCCATTTCCCTCCCCCTCCCCCGATCAAGTCCCCCTCCCTCATCAACCCAAAGAGCAATCAGGGTTCCCTGTCCTGTGGGAAGTCCAAGGACCACCCACCTCCATCCACGTCTAGTAAGGTGAGCATCCCAACTTCCTAGGCTCTCACAAAGCCAGTACATGCAGTAGGATCAAAAACCCATTGCCATTGTTCTTGAGTTCTCAGTAGTCCTCATTGTCTGCTATGTTCAGCAAGTCCGGTTTTATCCCATGCTTTTTCAGACCCAGGCCAGCTGGCCTTGGTGAATTCCCTATAGAACATTCCCATTGTCTCAGTGTGTGGGTGCACCCCTCGTGGCTCGTGCTCTCTCTCCTTCTGCTCCTGATTTGGACCTTGGGATTTCAGTCCTGTGCTCCAATATGGGTCTCTGTCTCTGTCTCCTTTCATTGCCTGATGAAGGTTAATATTCAGGAGGGTGCCTATATGTTTTTCTTTGGGTTCACCTTCTTATTTAGCTTCTTTAGGGTCACAAATTATAAGCTCAATGTCCTCTATTTGTGGTTAGAAACCAAATATGCGTGAGTACATCCCATGTTCCTCTTTTTGGGTAAGTACCATATACCAAAGCTAAACCAAGACCAGGTGAACGATCTAAATAGACCTGTTAGTGGCAAAGAATTAGAAACTGTTATCAAAAATCTCCCTTCCAAAAAAAAAGCCCAGGACCAGATGGTTTCAATGCAGAATTCTACCAGAACTTCCAAGAAGAACTAATACCTATACTAGTAAATGTATTTTTGTATTATTTTAATTATTAAGCCTGATCTATTGCAAGACAATCAATTTTCAGTGCTTCTGTTTACCACAAATGATAGTAAGTAATGAAATAGAAATAAATTTCTTATCCCACAAAAATCTGAAGGCTAGTTTTGCTTCATTAAGTTCTCAAAAACCAGGCTCCTTCAAGCACGCTGTTCTATTATCCTTAAGATACAGATACAGCCCTTTCTTCTTTGTGTAGTGAACCATCTGCAGCTTAGCCAGCACATCTGCATTCCAGACAGCAAGATGATGGGATATGAAAAACCAGGGAGAAAATAGATCATGTCTTTCCTATTTAAGGTAGTATATGGCACTTCTAATTACATTCAAAACCTGATCACGTGACCAGCTTTCCATACAAAGGAAGCAGACGAAAGTGAGTGTTTTTCAGCCAAATTATTGTGAACTGGACTGGTATAAAAGAAAGAATGAATAAATGATAGTGGATAATGGCAATCTCTGTCACAATTATAATTCAGCTTTTTATTGATTAAGGATTTCATATATTCATATAATGTGTATTGACCAAGTCCACTCCCCATTTGTTCCCCTTCAATACCTTCCCTACCCTGACTATCATTCCCCCCCAATTTCATGTGTTCAATGTTTTTAAAACTATGGATTCCACTTAGTGCTGCCAGTATGAACATCACACACGTAGGACCATCTTCTGGAGCATGGTTACCCTATCAAGAACAGCATCATTGACTAGGGGTAGGCTTCTTGAATTTCTTTCTGCTCCTTGCTGGAATGCTTTCTGAATTGATGTGACACAAGTCTTATCCAGGCTGTCTCAATTACTGTTCATTTATATTTGCAACTACTCTGATATATCCAGGAGACACAGCTTTACTGTAATCATCCACTGTTTCCGACTCTCAACAATCTTCCTATCCCCTCGTTCCAATGATCTCTGAGCCTTTGAAAGAGATGCTGTGTCATAAATATCCACTTTAGAGCTGAGTACTATACAATCTTTTATTATCTACATATTGGTCTGCTGTGGGTCTCTGTATTCACTGCCATCTACTTAAAAAAAGAAAAACCCTTAACAAATTATTATAGATGAGAAGCAAACACTTAGGATGGCTGTCCTTTGATAACATAGGTTGTTTATGTCAAAGCCTGGAATTGGAATGCCTTTCATCTCGATCCAAGTTCAGCACTGGCTTTACTATACCACCACTTCCACCATTTGGATCAGAAAATGATTTGTCTTTTACTTTACATTTTCCCTTCAGATATGACATATTTCCAAGATGACTCACTTTAAGAAAACACATTAACAAGCTTATCTAATAATACTGTCCTTGTATTAGCCATTATTCTAATCTCCAATTGTCTTCTTTGAATTGAACGGTAAAATCTAAATAGCAATGTCTAATGTCTAAATGAAACCTACATTTCCACCATTTTTGGGTCTGGTAATTATTAATATACATGCTTATTTTATTTATACTCAATGCTTACATCTTTTACCTGGAGTGCAGCTGAAAATTAAGGTAATTGTCTGGAACTATCTGTCAGGTTTGTCTCCTGCATCCTATCCTTGGGACAAGACCATCTGCCATCACAATTGTCTTTGATTCTCATTTACCTCTGTTTCTCTTTCTCACTGCTGATCAACTTCTGGGCAAACTCGCTTGCATCACTGCATTGGTCTTCCGAGATCTCCTAATCTAGTTGTGCCGCGCTGTCAGAATCCTCACGATAAATGCTAGTTCCAAAGTTCAGATCTATCAAGACCTGGTCCTTCAAATACCCTCGAAATCACTTGAAGATGATTTCTATTCTCTCGGTAGTGTCCCTGCTGCAGTCCCATCTCTCTGCTGCCTTGAATTCATAGGATTTCCCACGCTTTTGGGGTATTCAGGCCTGAACTCTGCCTAATGGGTTCATGAGCTGCTGCCACTGCCCTAGACAGAGTCCTCCGCCGGAGTTCCAGACATCTGAAACGCACTCCTGGTACCCCATCAATCTTCCCATCTCATAACTGAAGGAAGATTGCCTGCCACATGATGGCAATTTCTTCCTGAAACGCTTCTTATCTAGCTCTCGGAAATAAATAATGTGCCATGCACAATTTCTATTGTTCGGGATTTTAATTTGTCAACTAACAAGTACTCACATCTGAATGCAAGCCTTTCTCAGTGAATCGAAGGGATTGTTTGGGGAGAGAAGGGTCAAATGTGGCCTTTCTTAAATGACTCCTGTTAGCGTAGCAGTGTAAACCGATACTTTCATATCACCGCTCTTATTATGGAGACAGGCATAAATACATCACAATGGTTGGCATGGGCCGTCCTTGAGATGGAAAGTAACAGAACACATCTAAGTCAGAAAGGAACTGCAATGCACAGGAGGTGTTCCACTGAAAATATAAAATACTACACCACAGACTGAGTGCTTTATGAACAGCAGCAGTTAAGAGAATGTTTCCCCCACAGACATACATTAGTGGGCTAACGACAGCACATTTGACAGCTTAAACCTTATAAATGATATCATCCTACTTGCCTCCCTAAAAAGAAAACACTCCCCAAGTTATAGATTGGACAATGACATCTAGTGAGCAGAATAAAAACAAGTGATATGGTCATTTATTATTTTTTTATTAAACCTATTGATGTGAAATTTATTTTCTTTTGACAAGGTCACTGAAAATACTTCAACGGAAAATGATTGGAAAGTGGCTGGTGAGCTCCTTTCTCTCAGCGCTTTATCTAAGTTATGTTATGGGAAAACATCAAGATAGGGTTTGAGGGACTTTTAAAGGATGGATCCCTCAAAAATTGACTCTCCGAGCCAAGTATATCATCGAGGTGACCCAGAAACCACCTACGCCCTTAACTATTGCATGGGTTTGCTGGAGTCTCATATTTTTCTCATTACAACCAGTGATTGGATCTCCCTCTTTATATCTCTATGCTGTTCTCAAAATTATTGGGTTTCTATACTGAATGGAAAGATGTTGGATCATAGTTTCTTCTCAACAATTCAAATGCTATATGATGTCCTTGTTTGGTCTGCCAAACCCTTAGTCCTCATCTTTTATTTGATTTTTGAAAAGGATGGGCATGGATTCCAGGACTATGCCCCAAGTATGATCTTGAAGCAATTATTAACCCATCTGGATGACCTGAACACTAGAAGAACTTGTGGACCAACACACGCAGTTTACAGAATTCTAAGGATTAGGCGCAGGACTGTGGGCAGGCTCGACAAACATGCTACCAGTTGAGGTACATCCCCAGCTCAGCTGTCCTCTTAAGTTACACAGAATATATAAGGAGCTAGACTTTCAAAACTATGTTCCCAATTAATTACATCTACAGTTTCACCTTAATTCCATATTAATGTGAAGATGTTTAACATAGCCCCATGTTTTGTAACAAAGAGAAAAATGTAAATGCTTTAAGTGGAAAATAATTACCTATTATTTGGCTTTATGTCCAGATGTAACTCGTAGTATTAGGGAAAATATACTAGAAACTTCTGTAGCAAATTATAAAGCAGTTTTAAACTAACTGTCTTTGGTGTTATTCATCAACCATTTTGGATACTCAAAATAAGGTTTTGTGCTAATGTGACTAATTCCCTCCAGTGAGGCAATGAGGAAACCGTACACCTTTCCAGCTGAGTGTTTAATTATTGGTTAAAAAGACCACCTAAGCCCTCTGCCTTGACAATGCGCATTCTAAGAACAGAGATAAGTGGCCCCTCGGTTAACCCAGATTTCTAGGTAACTGAGATGTATTTTGCCTCTACTGACTCAAGATGACTTTATAATGTAATAATACCCAAGGACATTTGGATGACACAAAATTGGTTTTGTAAGATTAAAAAAGGAGACAAACACGAATTTAGGTGGGCAGGGAATGGGGAGTGAATTGAGGGAAAACTGAGAGAGGGAAAATATTCAAATAATAGCAATAATAATTTTATATATTTAAACTGGAAAGTTATAATATATTATTTTAACGATAACATAATTTCTCATGATTAAAATAAATGTTTAAGTTACTTACGTTTTTACTGATTCTTTTGTTTTGGGCCTCTGAACACTTGCTTATATATGATACTCTTCTTGTATGGTCCACTCTAGGAAAAATAAATAACAAATAAAAATATATATAGAGAGAGATACAAAGAGACAATTGAGCCAGATAGTCAGGAAAAAATATTAGTATAAGAGACAGCACAGAAATAACTATAATTAAAATTTCCTTTTTTTGGTTACCATTCCGTCTAGTATTTTTAATTATGAAAGAGAAACTGGATATAAAAAAATAAAATTGTATATACAAATGTAGAAAAAAAGCAAATAATTACTCCTTAACCATGACTTTATCTGTCAATTATATTAGCATTTTAATGTTTTTGCCAGTTGTTACCATGTATATTCAGCATGCGCATACACATTCAAATTTAATAATGTGCTTTACAAATTAAAAGTTTTAAGTAATATTAAGAAATACATTTAAGCAACCAGCCAAGTTGACAGAATTGGAGCTGTATCTCAGCATACATATAAAGTGAAAGCCACTGACAATTACATTAAACTTTAAACTCATGCATCTGAAAGTAATATGGCAAAACACACCTGTCTCACCTAAAGTTGACACACGTTCACAAGGAGCGCAACTAATGCAGCAAGACAAAATGGATGTCTTTTGTTTTTGAAACTCTTTGAGGTTTTATATTTTGCCAGGCTCAGAATACATTTTCAATGAATGCACATGAGCGGGGTTTTGTAATAAAGTTTTCAAAAGAAAATTCACATGAAGTAATTGAAAAGAAAAATATGAGGAGGCTTGTATTAAAATAAAAAGGCTAATTTGTAATAAAGACTGAAAGTTCTTTAAGCGTTCAAAGAAAGGAAATGTCCCTGAGAGAACAATCTCTATAGAAGAAGTGACCTTTGCCTTGCTTCTATAACTTCCGAGGATTCCCTTATCTCTGCATAGAATCATTTGTGAGTCAGTGTTGACATACACTGACATTATTAGATTAAATACGCATACCCTATTAGATTAAAAGCAGAAAGAACACAGGCAGAACAGGTATAAAGGGCCTAAATTGGCAATGGTGTTAGCCCAGGAACAGAGACATCATGGTCAAAACCTAAAGTTCTGGAAACACTGCCAAGCGTAGATTATTTCAGGCTGGCACTGAGACTCAGGATGTGTGCATTTTTGGACAGCTCATGTCAGCACAGGGCAGAAACATGTCTGGAGCTACAGTGATCTTGAGTTATACGCTCCAGGTTAAAACAGAGGTGCCATGTGTGAATGTCCAGAGTTGGTAGAGAAACTGGTGGGGGCCACGTAACCTGTCATGCTATGTGTTACAACAAACAGCTTGTTTTTTAGAGTAAGGCCTGATTTCTAGCAAAGACCTTGGAAAAAGCAAGAAATAAGACAGAAACCAGACAATATGGATAGGGCCACTATCACTTGGAACTCTGGTGTGATTACTTCTACAGAAAGACTAAAACAACATCTCCTACCCCCTTGTAAGTCTCAATAAAATAAACAAAGTAGAATTTCTCCAAAGTTCAGTTTTAATAAGCAAGTGGTTTATTGGGTTTGTTTGCAGAGTATGGATGAGATCTTGCCTACATGAACAGCAAAAGCAATCCCAAAGTAGCTGTACTAGAAAGTCAACCTTGGTATGGATAATCGTTTCCCCATAGCTTCATAGATAGAATCCTATCAGTTAGCCTTCCTGAGAAAGTATACTATATGCAAGTATTCCCACTGACACTGGTGAGGCCATGTGTAATTACAATAGAATTGCAAAGAACTCAGGTGCGGGTTCAATGATCCTTTCCCAACCCCTACTACTCAAAAGGAACTTGAGTAGTACACAGGCCTGATGGCCTCCTGAAAGCATGCATAGCTGACCGGATGAAGAGGGAAGCTGCTGCTTAAAGAACCACATTCAATAATAAACTCAAAGTAAAGAATACAGGCCTCAAGGAGCTTGCACCAATTGTATTAGTATAGAAAGGTTTGGTCAATAGAAGTACCTCTAGAGTCTACCTGATAGTAAATTTAGGATTTCTAAATATAGTCTCATCTTGGATACAAACTAGGGAGGGGATGAACTGAAGCATGACTAATAAAAATTCAGAGACAGAATTTGGGGTTCATCTTGATGACCAGAAAAGCAAAGCAGCCAGCCACTGGCTCTTACCTTGACCTCAGTCTGAAATGGTGATTCTGTCTCCAGGAATATCAGAATGAGACTGAGCCTGAGAGCTGTCTCCTCCCGTTTTATAATCCTCTCTAGTTCTGGGATTAAAGGCTTGCACCACTGGGATTAAAGGAATGCACCACCTGGTTTCTATGGCAAACTAGTGTGACCACTGGGATTAAAGTGTGTGTTACCAACACTTCATCTATAAGGCTGACCAGTGGGACTGTTTTACTCTCTAATCTTCAGGCAAGCTTTATTTATTAAAATACAAATGAAATAGCACTACATTGAACATATCATTGGCAGATTTTCTTACCTACTGAGTATAGAAGTGAGAAGCTGCCCTTGCCCAATTTTCCAAAAGTGTCCATCTTAACCATCTTATCTAAAGGCCTTTAACATTCTAAATAAACAGAAGGATTATTTGAAGGATTCATTAATCAGGAGACAGTGGTATATACATTTCTTGTATGTTTCCAACTCTGAGTTCTTGCCTTGATCCTACAACATTTCTAGTCTTTCCATAAATAGGGTAATAACACACAGAAAAGATAAAATGTAACAACAGTGGCTTGGGTATAGGCAGAAGATGAAAATTGTTAGAGATATAAGGGTACAAAGCATGGGAAGCATTTGAGATACTGATCAAATTGCTCAATAGTCTGCTAACCAAATACCAATGTCTGTATAACCACAACAACAGAAATTTAGGTTTTCAATTATGTAAACTAGAACTATAATAGCACTGTTTTGGTTGGATTGGTTACTTCAAATAAATCTCAATCAAGCAATCAATCAACCAATCAATCTCTCTCTCTCATTCTCTCTGTGTGTGTGCATGTGTGTGCACCTGCACATGGTTTGAAAATCATCATTTTTTCCCCCAAGTTTTCTAGTATTTTCAAATTTTTCCTGTTCCTGAAAGAATATCAGTCATAATCTGATGTGGGATTCTGCTTTGTATGCTATGAATATGTTTTATAACCATTGGTTAATAAATAATCTGTTTCAGCCTATAGCAGGAAAGAATAAAACTAGACAGGAAAACCAAATAAAGATATATAAAGTAGGCAGAGTCAGAGAGACTCCACAAACCAACCAAAGGAGACAATGCCAGATCCTTACAAGTAAGCCAGAGCCTCATGCTGATACACAGAAATGGGTTAATTTGAGATAAGAGTTAGTTAATAAGAAACCTGAATAATAGGCCAAGCAATGTTGTAATTAATATAGCTTCTGTGTGATTATTTGGGTCTTGGTGGCTGGGAACGAATGAGAAGTCTCTGCCTACAATAATCACCTACAATCATATATTTTCTTAAGGTCTAGTTTAAAGGGTGTGTTTCCAAGTATGGTTACTATGATGTCTAATTTTATGCCAAGTTGACACAGACTAGAGTCATCTGAGAGGAGGAAATCCCACTGAGAAAATGACACCATAAGACTGGGGGTCAGACAAGTCTCTAGAAAGCATTTTCTTAACTAGTGACTGACAGGGCAGGGTTCAGCTCTCCCTGGACTGGTGGCCCCAAGTCCTCTAAGAAAACAGGCTGAGGAAGCCACGGGGACCAAGCCAATAAGCAGCACCCTTCTGTGGCCCTGAAACAGCTCCTGTCTCCAGGTTCCTTTTGAGTTCCTGTCCTGTCTTCCTTCAGTGATGGACTATGGATGAGAAAGCATAAGCCAAGGAAATCCTTTCCTCCCCAATTCACTTTTTGTCACGGTGTTTCATAACAGCAATAGTAACCCAAAGTAAGGTATAGCATATTAGTATTTCAAGAAATAAATGTGGGGAGACAAAAATCATTCCCAAACAGAAGACTACAATGCAGCTTTAAAACACTACACAATAAAATGACAATCAAAAGCTATTAAAAGGAGACACGTGATTAAAGTGGTGTTCCACTAGGAAAAAAAAAGTTTACATCTTCAACAAATGATGCTGGAAAAACTGAATGTCTTTGTGTAGAAGTATGCAAACAGATCCTTATTTATCACCTTGCACAAAATTCAAGTCCAACTGAATCAAAGACCTCAACAGGAAACCTGGTACACTGAACCTGATAGAAGAGAAATTGGAGAATAGGCTTAAAAGTAGTAGCACTGGAGACAACTTTCTGCACAGAACACTAATAGTACAAGCACTAATATCAACAATAAAACAATAAAATGGGACCTCATGAAAATGGAAGCTTCTGTAATGCAACGGACACCATCAATTGGACAAAGTGGCAACCTACATACTGGTAAGAGATTTTTATCAACTCAACACCTAGTAGAGGACTAATATCCAAAACATATAAAGAACTCAACAAACTAGATTTTCAAAACAAAATCCAATTAAACAATAGGATACATATCTAAACAGAATTCTCAGTAGAGGATTTGCCATTAGCTGAGAAACATTAAAAGCAGTGTTCCATATCCTTAGCCATGAGGGAAAAGCCAATAAAAACAACCTTGAGATTCCATTTTATTCCTGTCATAATGGCTAAAAAAAATTAACACAAGTGACAACTCATACTGCCTAGGATGTGGATGGAGCAAGGGAAATACGTCCCCTTTGCAGGTGGGAGTGCAACCTTATACAGTCTCTATGGCCCTTCAAATCAACTAAGCAGTTGCATATGAGCTCACAGAGACTGAAGCAGTAAGCTCAGGGCTTCCGTGAGTAGGCATCAGGTCCTCTGCATATGTATTATAGCTTTTAGCTATCTTTATGGGACTCCTGACTATGAGAACTAGTGAGTCTCTGACTCTTGTGCCTGTTCTTGGAATTCTTTTCCTCTGGTTGGTTTCTTTGTCTGACTTCAATAGGAAAGTTTGTGCTTCATTGTTTTATATTTTATTTTGTCATTTTTTTCTTTGATGAGAGACAGAAAGGGAGTGGATCTGAATAG